TAGAGCAGGTCACCATCCATTCAAGTATTCTCCAATCTCTGTCTGTGCCAGTACCTCATTGTCTTAAATATCACCAGTATACTCAGCCCTGCTCAGGCCACTTTTCTATCTTTCAACTGTGTTGGTCTTATACCCTTTGTTCTTGCATGACAAATGGGCCACACAAATACATTTTTTTTCTGTTACAAAAGTAAAATGTATTTAATGCAAAAACAGTTAACCAGCTGGGCATTGGTGGTGCACACCTTTAGTCCCAGCACTGGAGAGCACATGCAGGCAAATCTCTGACTTCAAGGCCAGTCTGGTCTACAGAGTGAGTTCCAGGACAGCCAGAGCTATACAGAGAAAGCCTGGGTTGAAAAAAAAAAAAAAAAAAAAAAAAAAAAAAAAAAAACTTCCTCCTTCTATATCCTGGGCCACCAGAGGATGTGGCCCAGATTTAAGATGGATCTTCCCATCTCAGAAGATCCCATGAAGAAAAATCTGTCACAGATGTTAACCAGCAGCTCCCGTTTTAGTTTGTTGCATTCCAGATGTAGTTAAATTGACAACCAAGAATAGCTATCACAAGTCTACCCCTTGTCAACTTGACAAAATCATATCTCCTTATGTCATGTTCAGTTTCAAAAGTAAAACAATAACTGGGTCATAATTACACCTAACATGATGTATAAGTATCCCATGTACAACCACAAATGCATTGCATATTACAGAATTGGTGACATGTCCCTTGAGTGGCATTCTTTTAGTATCTCAAAACTTAAATATGATAACTGATATTATCTCAATTGATGTTACATTACATGATAAAGAAATCAAGGAAAGAAAACACAAATATCTGTAAAACATCTTAAAAATATAGAAGAAACATTAATATCATAAGTATAATTATATGTCAATTATAATTATAAAGTCAATTATAATTTTTATTTCTGCAGCTGGTCACATGATCTTAGGTGGTATTTATAACTACTTTCCTCAACTTCCCATTCTGTATTTCCTTAGAAAGCAAACAGCAGGTCTTGCCTCTTTTCCTGGAGGAGCGACCCATACCTTCATCCCTGGAGGGTCTGTGCCCTTTGTCATCCTGCCTGGTTTGGGTTGTTGTAGTTTTCCGTTGACTTTATTCACAGGACATGATAGCACTAGGAGACATCCTAAAGGATCTCCTGTGCCCCAGACACAATCTTCCTATCTGCACTGTGAAGAAGCAGTCCACTTTCCTCTTGGTAATCTGGACCAATCACCCCGTGAAAGAAGTGTTCAGTGTAGTCAAGCTGCCACCAGGTCACTGGTGCCATATTGGGGGCTCAGTGTTGTTCTCTGCTGTTGGCAGACCTGGCATTCAGCAGCAGCTGTAGTCAGGTCAGCCTTGCTGAGGGATAGTCCATGTTGTTGAGCTCATGAGTAACCTTCACCAGTGCTGCCACGGTCAATTTGTTCAAGGGTCCATGGGGCAATGACAGGGATGACTTGGGAAAGAGGCTGGGACAGTCTACTTGATTCCTGGACTCCTCTGCTGAAGTGACCTTTGGATGAGCATTTACATGAGACACGAATATCTTCACATCCTTTGCCCGTTTGCAGAGGTCTCTCCACATCCTTCTTCCCCAGATGTCTTTCTCACCAATTTTCCAATCAAGCTCTTTCGCAGGTCCCTGACCATACAGGAAAACAGTTGGCTACAGCCCATGAATCAGTATACAATCACACACCTGGCCTTTTCTCCCTCCAAACAAAATATTTGACCATGTGTACTGCCTGAAGTTCTGCCAACTGTGAAGATTTCTCTTCACTGGTATCTTTCAGGATTGCCCAGAAAGGGGTTGTCATGCTGCAACTGTCCACTTCTGGGTGTGCCTGCATAACATACAGAACCATTAGTAAACCAGGCCCTAGTCTTCTCTTCCTCAGTCAACCCATCATAGGAAACACCTCAGAAAGCTATAAGAGCATGCTAGGGAGCAGACGGCGTTGTAATTAAAGTAGAAACCACAGGCAACAGATCCTATGTAACTTGCTTGTGCCTTCAGGACATGCTTAGTCCCAAACATGTATATATCACTTCCATTTGAAAATGGATTAATGCTGTGCTTGTCCTACTTCGTGGCTCCGTGTGTCAGATAATACCCAGCTCATGATGGGCAGCTCAGTCGCATGGTAACTTGGTGACCTATTGTGAAATGCTCAGTTAAGACCCAATAGCAGGAGGCCAAGAACTGCTTCTCAAAGGGAGAATAGTTGTCTGCAGATGACGGTAGAGCCTTGCTCCCAAATCCCAAAGGTCTCTTCTGTGATCCTCTCATAAGGACCTTGCCAAGGGCTCCAAACAGCATCCCCATCTGCTACTGCCACCTCAAGTACCATAGTTCTGTTGGATCATATGGTCCAAGTGGTAGATCAGCCATCACTGAAGCCTGGACCTGTTGAAGACCTTCTTTTCCAGGCCCCACACAAAGCTAGCAGCTTTCTGAGTCATTTGGTATATGGACCGCAGAAACATACCCAAGCAAGGAATGTGCTGTCTTCAGAATCCAAGCAGGCTCACTAAGTCTTGTGCTTCCTTTCCTCTGTGGTAGTGGGGGTCAGGGCAATGACATCCTTTAGGAGGAATATCCCTGAATGTCCCACACCACTGGACTCCTAAGAATTGCACTGAAATAAATAGAATGCTTTGCATTTTCATTGGATTTATTGTCCCATACTCTAATGTGCATGTTTTTCCAGGGAGTCAAAGTGGTCGATACCTCCTGCTCACTTGGTCCAATCAGCATAATGTCATCCATGCAGGGCACCAGTGTGATATTTTGTGGAAAAGACAATCAAGATCCCTTGTAAGTTGTGACGCAGGGCTGGAGAGTTAATATATCCTTGAGGTAAAACTGCAAGTGTATACTGCTGGCCTTGCCAGCTGAAAGCAAATTGTTTCTGGTGGTCCGTATGGACAGGTACCGAGAAAACAACATTTACTAGATCAATAGCTGCATACCGTGTACCAGGAGATGTGCTAATCTGCTTAGGTGAGGGCACCACACTTGGTATAGCCACAAAGTCATCATCACTGCTTGACTAAGTTTTCAATAGTCAACTGTCATTCTCCACCATCTTTCTTCTGCCGGCCAGATAGGATGGTTGAAGGAAGGTGTGGGAGCCACCACCCCTGCATCTTTCAAGTCCTTGATGGTGACACTGATTTCTGCAGTTCCTTCTGGGATGTAATACTATTTTTTGTTCACTATTTTCTGGCAGAGGCAGCTCTGGTAGCTTCCATCTGGCCTTTCTCGCCATAACAGCCCTCGCCGCACTGGTCAGGGAACCAATGTGAGAGCTTTGTCAACTCCTAAGTATTTCCCAAGTATACACTGAAGAGATGACTATAGGACAAGTTCACGGACCCACTAGATCCACCAGACCCACCTGAGTCAGAATTCAACCAAAACACCATTAATAACCTGACCTCCACCAGCCCCTGGTTTAACTATATGAGGGTATTATATCCCTGGGAAATGGAGTTACACACAATTGTGAGCTGCCATGTGGGTGCTGGGAATTGAATCAGGATCCTCTGGAAGAGCAGTCAGTGCTCTTAACCTCTGAGCCATCTCTCTAGCCTCCATAATGCTTCTTGAGGTCTGTCTGAACCAGTACCTAAAAGACCTCAGAAAGTCTGATTGCTTCCTTTCCCCAGTGTACATTGCCCTTATAAAAGGCCTTAGGTCCCTCCCAGGAAGGACTGGAGAAAGGCTAACAGTAAAACTCTTCAGTATTTTAGCAAGGGAAACCAGGCCTTTCATTCAAGGGGTTCTGGGTCCGGGTCTGGAAGCTGGTTCACAGGCCCACCTCTTGCCACTGTCCAGTGAAGCCTTTTTGTTTTGTTTGAGATTTTTTTCTGAGTAGCAACCCCAAGGTCTGGCACAAGGAAAAGGATGACTACACCTCTTCCAACATGCTAGTGCCCCTTGCCATTTTGTGCTGTATAGGATTTTGTGAAGGGCATGCCTTCTGGGCCTTCCCACTGTGCAGGATTATGTTTTACAAGTATTCACTCTAGCATTGTGATACCTGAGCCTTAAAATCCCTCCATCAAGACCAAGCTAGGATATCAGGTGTCTCCAGCTCTTTTTAGTGGGTCATCTTTGACAAATGTTTCAGCCAACCACTCAAAGAAGATTTTGCCCTCTGCCCCAACCCCAACACTGGAGTTTCAAAGCAGGGGGAGTCTCTGTGTAGCCTTGGCTGTCCTGGACTCACTCTGTACATCAGGCTGGCCTCAAACTCAGAGATCAGCCTGCCTCTGCCTGCCAAGAAGAGCTCTTCTGAGAGTGTGACACAGTGGTCGTGCCAGAGACCCAGGTGTGTCCATATGTGTGTCTAGGTGGGCATCTCCGTCTGTAAAATAGAGTTCTAACTCTAGCGTGCACCCTGGATTGTGGGTGCAGGGCAGAGGAAAATGCTCAAGAAACATTCAACCAGACCAGGAGTGTAAGAGCACTCCACAAACAAGTCCCTGGTGCCTACCTACTGAGGGTTCTATGGAGCTGGTTTGTCTATTTAGATTTATTTTTATTTTATGTATGACTGTGTGAGGGTGTCAGATCCCCTGGAACTGGAGTTACAGACAGGCATGAGCTGCCATGTAGGTGCTCTTAACCTCTGAGCCATCTCTCTAGCCTGAGGGTTTTTTTGTTTTCAATTTTATGTCCCAGTGCTTTGCTTGTAAGTATGTGTAGCACATGTGTGCCTGTGGGTGTCAGAAGGATCAGATCCCCTAGAACTGGAGTCACAGTTGGTCATGAGCTGGGTCTTTTCCAAGAGCAAGTGCTTTTCCCCAGCCTCTTACTTTTGTTGGGACAGGGTTTTACCATGTAGCCCAGGCTGACCTTGACTATCCATCCTGCTGCCTCAGCTTCCCGCATGCTGAAATTAAGTTCTAGGCCATCTAACTTCACCATACCCTACATTTTTTTGTCCCCCTCAATTGAACCACATCACTCGTATCATTCCAAGAAATCTTAATTTCTTTATTGTTTGACTTTTTTGACTCAACATTTTTTTAAACTTTTTGTTTTTTTCTGAAACGTTCTTATGAGCCTTTTGTTTTGTTCTCGTTAAATGCACTCGACCCAAAATTGGTTTGGCATATCGAAAAGGAGACCAAGGAAAGGAGGAGCTAGGGTGTGGGAGTAGGGAGGAGGCCCAGATGGACAGAGAAATTGAAAATGAGAGGAGAGGGGGCGACACAGAGACAGCAAAGGAAGAAGTTGAATAGTTAGGAAAACCCAAAAGAAAAGATGCAGAGAAAAAGAATGAGCAAGATTTAGGAGCAAATGAATTCAGGAGCCCAAGGAAGGGAGTAGGAGGAGACCAAGACCCTTCTCTGTACCGTCCCCGCTGGGGTGGGGGCGTCAAGGCACCAGGTCTGGTTAGGGTAGGGGACACCTGGGCTCTCTGCGTGGCTTTGCGCTGGATTGTAGTGGATCCAGCCCCACTTGGGGACCTGCCATGTAGCTCTGAGGCCTGGGAGTTACTCTGTGCTCGTGATTCCAGCTAGAGTTGGAATCAGGGCCTTGCTACACTCCACCCTCCACGTTTGGAGAAGGGTTGTACAGAGAAAGAGGAAGCAGCACTGTGCCTGCCAATCCCAGAGGAGCTCTTGACCCCACCCCTTCTCCCAGCTTTGTTGATGTCTGACGGGCCTCAGGCTCGGGCTGAGCCAAGTCCTCTGGCTTCTGGGCCTGCCACTCCACACTCCAGGTCCAGTGGAAGTTAGGCAAGGGCCACAAGCCATTTCCTACTCTTCATGCCTGCCTAGCAAGACTATCCCCATCTCTCTCCTCTTCCCTATAGACTTCGCCCTTGGTCTTCTGGTAAGTTAGGCTAAAACACCACCAGAAAAAACCAAAGATGGAATAAACCCTGCCTTTTCACATCTATTCCCCTTCTTGGGACAAACCATTATCTTTGGTCTGGCCCCTTTCCCCCTCATTGATGGGGACAAGCCAGTCCCAGCTCCCCAGAAGGGAGCAGGCTTTCTAGCAGCAAAAAGGGCCCTCCCAGCCACCTATCCACCTCCTCAGCTCCTTCCTAGAGCCCCTCCCTCATAACCCAAAGAAGTTCATGGCAGCAGCAAGCTGAGACCCGAGGATGCTTGAAAACTCGTGGCACTTGTGAGGAAGGAGGCAGGGACAAGACAGGGAAGTCAGCAGAGGTGTGACGTCACCTCCAGAAGATGGCAGCAGGGTATGCTACCCCCAAAAAACTGGGGGAGGGCAGCAGGCCAGGCTGAAGGGCCAGAGGTGCTTGGGGGGGGGGTAAGGGAAAGTGACCTCTCACCTTTCTCCCCCACCCTCAGAAACGAGCTCATCACCGCCATTCTGCCCTCAGACACAGGAACCATTTCCTGCCCTGGGCTCCTTTCCCTTGCCCTCCCAGGATGGATGGGATGGCAGCCTCCTCCTGCCTGCCATGAGTCCTGAAGTGATATACGAGAAGCAGGAACTCAAAGGGGTAGTGCAGCCATCTTGGCAAAAGCATCTTTGGGTGTGAGGGTGTCTCCTGGCCTGTGGGGCAGGGGGAGACAGGCCTCTGGTCCTGGGGCAGGCAGTGAGGTACACGCCCCAGGAGGGCTGACTGATGTAGGGCAGACAGCAGAGCGCACAGGACCGGTGCTGGGAAGGACAGGTTCTTTGTTTCGCTGTTGCTTCTAGATTTGTTCTGTCTCTGGAGTGTAAAAAGCTGCTCTGGCGGCTGCCCACCCTGGCTGATGTTTACATACAGGAAGTCCTGGTTGCTAGGGCTGGCCGCTGCTTTGTTCCGGAGAAAGTCCGGGCTGGCCTGGGCTGCAGGTGCCCGGTGGCTTCAAGTGATGAGATTTTCTTTTCTTACTTTTTTTTGTCTTTTTTTTTTTTTCCTTTTCCATTTTGTTGAAATATTTACAGCAATAGGAGAGGAAGAGAGAGGGGTAAGAGGACCCCCTAGGGGAAGATCCAAACCCAGGACCCACTCCTCAGGGAGCCCCAGACCCCAAATCTGCTCCCCAGATAGCCCAGCCCACAGAACTGGGAACTGCCCAAGTATGGCCACCCCAGTGGGTTAGGAGGCCCCGCGGGGAGTTGTGCTTCATCAGGAGTCACCCCAAGGGAGGGGGTCATTGGGTGCACTCTGGGGGTTGAGGGGCAGGCTTGCTTGGGAGACAGGGACCAATAGCAAGGGTGAAAGGAGCTTTAGAGAAAGTCCGCGTTAATCACCAGCCACTACCGCCAACCCCCTGGGCCTGGGCCTTCCTGTGGTGCAAGGCCCAGGCTCCAGGGCACAAGGAACTGTAGCATGGGAGGATCCTGTCCATCTGTCTTGCTGGCCCACCGCTCCCTTCCGGTGGATGGACAGGAGCAGCTGATGGATTGGATCCTGCAAGGCTTTGGCTACCTGAAAAGCGGCAACCCCCTACAGACCTAGGAAAGCCTTGCTCTTCCTCTACAGGCAGGGAGTGACAGAAGTTGGTCACACCCGCCAGTTTCTCCCGCACTCCTAGGGCCCCTGGGGACTTTTCCTCATTGCACTCCCCTAGAGAGGCTGGGGTGTGTGGCTGGTGGAAACCCTGTCTACTAACCCTGGCACCTGGGGCCCAGGTCAGAGCCCCTGAGGGGACTGTGGGGCCCACGGGCTGAGGGGCACCTGGAGAGAGTGGCCCACCAGCCACTGCCTCCATCAGTCTCTGCTCCCATCAGAGCCCCTCCTGGGTTCCCTCCCTGGCCAGGACCCGGGCCTCTGGTCCATGAGGCCCCTCAGAGACTGGTGACCAATTGCATCTGCCCGTCCCCATCGGGCCCTGGCCCCTCGAGACTGGGGGCTGCCAGGTAGCCTTCATGGCTGGGCCGCCGCACCTGGTAGTAGCCCTGTAGGGGATTCCGAGCCACCAGGGCCGGCGGGCGGGAGGTGTAGTAGATTTCTGGAGGGCCTGGGGGGGCAGGTGGGGGTGGGGGTAGGGCCTCATTAGGCCCTTCGGGGCTGCTGTCCGGGTAGGAGGGCGAGTCCCGCAGGTTGGCCCCGCTGGCATAGAGGGAGTCCCGGCCGGGAGGTGAGGAGAGGGGCCGACTGGTGGCCCCATCCTCTGCCGTGCAGCTCTCTGACTCGTCCAGATCACTCTGGTACAGCACCGACTGGGCCCGGGGCAGCAGCAGCGGCTCCTCCAGGGCCTTGTAGAGAAGTTCAATCTCTGCCCGATCAGCACCCCCAGGCCCGCCGGTCTCGTCCTCACTGACCCCTGGCACGGGTGGCACAGGAGGTTCCGGGGGAGGCCCTTTGGCGCCCCCACTGGCCCCACGCAGGTTGTTGTGCACCAGCTCTGAGATGATCATCTTCTCAAAGGCGGCAGCATCGGCCAGGTTCCGGCCTCTGGGGGGCTCAGGTCCCCCATCCCCTGGAGGGAAATCCCCGCTTCGCAAGGAGTAGCTGTTGTTGAAGTTGCCGTTAAGGGGCAGGGTATCCATGCCACAGGCTTCCCGGCCTCCCAAGGGGTGCTCTGCAGGGCAGAGGGGGCAGTAAGGATGGGCCTGGTCACGTGGGTAGACAAAGGGCGCTGAGAGGTCTGTCCCAGATCCTCGGGTCTCATTTTCCTCTTTCACCTGCTGTGGGGCCTGCCGACTAGCAATAGGCTCAAGAGGGTGTGTGTAAGGGCCTCTTCACCCAGACCTGTGTAGTCAGGTACAATCCCTAGGCTTGGGCTGACCCCTCACTTTATTCCCTACCTGAAGGTCCCCACTTGGCTGCTGTGCCAGAGCCTGTGGGCAGGGACACCCCAAGTTTCCGGTCCCTATGAGATCCTTACAGGAGACGGGCCTGCCTTTGTTCCCCTTCCCCTTTGGAAGTGCTTACAGGAGACAGTGGTACTTACTCGGTTCCCTGTAGCTTCCTGTAGATGCCAGCCCACAAGAGAAGATAAGACAAGAATGAGTTAAGCAGAGGCCCCTCAGGACCTGCCCTCAGGGCCTGCCAACTTGGGACCCTGCCCTTCCCTGGCATCCAGCCAGCCCAAGTGTCCTCACCTGGAGAGTTGAAGACCGGGGGCGAGGAAGGATTGAAGCCCACAGACTCCGCGATGAGTGTATTGTATGGGCTAGTGCCCCCACGGGGCTGTAGCACAGGGTTGGTCAGGAGATGGTTCCCCATGGTACCTGCCCAAGGGAAGGGCCAGGTTATAAGGCAGCCCAGAGGCTTGGGCCAAGGAGGTTCTGAGAGGTACCAGGGCCAGGGCACACCTCACCTCGGTTCAGGGTAGGGGTGCTGTTTATGTCGCCCGCCATAAAGGAGGACTCTGTCTGTTTCCTCACGGTGTCATTCCACATCCTCCGGATTCGGCTCTGGGGACACAGCCCAAACGTGAGGGGATCTCTAGTACCACCCCACCCTCCAGGGTCTGGCAGAGCACTCCTGCCTCTTGGCCCAGAGAGACCTGCTGGGTATGCCTTCCCTGCCCAGGTACCTGGGTCCCTGTGTAGTAGCGGGTGTTACTTCGCATGGCTGAGGTCTTCAGGGAGCCGTGAGTCCCCCCAGGAGGGGAGCGGATGCAGCAGTAGGAGTGGCGCAGGCACTTGCTGTACTCCTTGTGCACCTGTGAAGGGACAGTCAGCCGGTCAGAGCGGGCAAGCCACAGAAACTTCACTGATGGCCAGCCATTCGGGCTATTACTTTGGTTCATTCTCTTTTTCTTCACCAACACCAACTTCCTCATTCATTCCTTCATTCTCCAACTCAACTCATCTTTAGGGAACATGTCCTATATGTGCCAGGCACAGGGAACATCACTGACTCTGAACTCCTGACCTCCTGCCCCCACCTCCCCAGTGCTAGAATTGTAGGCATGCACCACTATGCCCAATTCGTGACCCTGGGGATGGAACCCAGGCTTCATGCATGCTAGGCAAGCACTCTACCAATTCAGCTACATCCTCAGCCCTCATGGTGAAAAGTTGATGTGTATGGATGTTTTGCCTACATATACATGTGTGTGTCATGTGTGTGCAATGCCCTCCAAGCCAGGCAAGGGTTCCCTGGCACCATTCCTTGGATCAGTTCTTTCTAGAAAGATTAAGGTAGGAATCTTAACATCGTGACTTCCAGCTGTTCGCCACCCCTGGCTGGGCTGCGCATCAGACAGGACCACAAGAGCACCCACAGCCCTAGCAGCCCGGCTGCCACTCACCTGTACCCCGCTTCATTTCTAGAATCTTTTTGACCTCTGACTGAATCCTCCCAGCTCCCATCAGACTCAGATGGTCCCACAGAAGGCAGGTGACCAGGGGACATACTGAGGGGCCCAGGGAGCACCTGAGTACCTTCACCCTGGCCTCCCTCCCCGAGCTCTGTCACCCTCACCTTCTTCTGTAAGGCGCAGTGAAAGACAAAGATGAAGACCCCCTGGAAGGCGTTGAAGGTGGTGAAGAGATAGGCCATGACTACCGACTCCTTGTTGATGAAGAGGAGGCCAAAAGCCCAGGTGAGGCCCAGCAGGAAGAGCAGCGCAATGGCACCCAGCGCCCAGGACCTGGTGGCCAAGGGGATAGGCAGTCATGGTGCTCACCAGGAAAGACAGCCCAGCCCCAAGGCCTCCCCTCCGGTGCCACCTGAAAGACCTAGCCTAAGGTTGAGGTGGCCTTGGGAAGGCCTGCTGGTGGACACTGAGGGTTGGTTCCAGGTGATGGGCCGTTTCCTGCCAATGTCATCGTTTTGATCAGATTTCCAGTGCACTCAGACTCCCTTTGTGGCCCACTTTTCAAGGCGCCCTCAAACAGACTGACACTAAATTTGCAGTGGCAGGCCTGACAGCACAGGTGGGCAGACTGCTGTGCTTTCTGGCCCTGCTAAGTAGGGTCCACATCATGCACAAAAACTGAACACCCAAAGCACGGCGCCGACGATGAACAAAGTGTTCCGGAAACCCTGAGGGCCCCAGGGTGAGGGTCTCACTTGATGTTGTCAAGGCGGCTGGAGTCAGGCTTGAGCACTGATGAGCTTCGGATCATCTTGTGCAGGGTCACCATGAGGAACACCAGGTTCACCTGGGTAGCAGTACAGGAAGGGGCTCAGTCTCTGCTCCAACCCCTTCTCCAGGGCCTTCTCTGCCCACAGGGCCCAAAGTGCCCACTGCCTCCATCCGGTATTTGCTGTGAGGCCAAGGGTCATGGCTTGGCATGAAACGGCCTTGGATCACAGCTGCTGGTGCACTGGCCTCATACTGGGGACTATGGACTTAGTCACCCTAGTCTTTTTAGCTACTGCTTGTGTGAGTGTGTGTGTGTGTGTGTGTGTATTTAGGGATAGAACCCAGGGCCTTTTTTGCATAGTGGGCCATGCCCTGGCTCCTCTGCTTGGTTCTGAAAGCTTTTACTCTAGTGCCTTGAAAAACTGGCACGGGCCTCAGAGTTAGGGTCAAGACCAGCCTGAATGAAAGGAACCCCCATCCTTGGAGTGCCACTCACCACAATGACAAAGGAGACGGGCCCAATGAAGCTCCAGATGAAGTAGTTATCCACCCTCAGCCAGCAGCTAAAACGAAACACAGTGAGAGTGGGAAGATGCCTGAAAGGCCAGCCACCCCAGCCCTGGCCCAAGGAAAGCCAGCCAGCCAGCCACTCAAGAGCCAACCAGAGGAAGACCACGGGGACAACAGAGACACTCACGCCTTCTCAGTGCCATAGCTTCGGTAGTCAATGGCCGCTGCGATGCCTACCACCAGGGCTGGGAAGCAGTAGCCACCCAGGTAATAGTACTTGGTGCGTGAGTATTCGCTCTCAAACACCTCCACCAGCAACAGGTAGAGGTGCACACCTTCTAGGCACAGCCAGGAGAAGGCGGCCAGGAAAAAGTAGTGCAGAAGGCCAGCAAAGATGGGACAGGCGACCTGGGAGGGCAGATCAGTAAGAGGCTATTTATTCCACCAGCCAGAGCCCTTCCTTCCCACTGCCTAGCCTCGGCCCCAAGAGTCGCTAACCTCATACTGAGTCTTGTCTATCCCAACAAGGAAGAGCAGCTCCGCAAGGAAGAGGTTGATGCACAGGTTCTTGTGGATGGTGTTGCGGTCGGTCTGCAGGCCACGCAGGAAGCAGAAGGTGGAGATACAAATGGCCAGACAGACCAGGGAGATGACAATGCCAACCCAGGTGATGACCGACAGCAGCAGCTCATTGATACGGCCCTGGTACTAGGGGACAGGAGTAGGGGGGACACTCAGGGCTTGGCCAGGTGACAGCTGCAGGTAAGGACCCAGGCAAGGCTGTGGGCCACAAGACCCTCCAGTGCTACCCACCCAGCCACCAAGCTGGCCCCCACCCCTGTGCAGGCAGAGCAGGCTCACTTCCTCATGCTCTGGAAGGCTTGTGGAGGGAATGACAAATGTGACAGCAACTTGCTTCTCCAGAATGCCTCAGGGCCAGAGGGAGCCAGATGCAAGGCTGCATGCCCCAGGCAAGACTGGTGGCCCCCCAAGCCCATGAGCTGGCCTCGTAGGCATCGCCCATGCAGTGTACTCTCTAGGATGCCATGCAAAGCCAGGCCAGCAGCAAGCAGGACTGCCCGGGGCAGCAGAGCACCGGCCAGCTTACGATCTCTCGGTGAGCCATGAGCACTGCGAAGTTGGTGAGGTGGCTGCAGGCACATGTGGTATGGGTCTTATTGGACTCCACCAGGCGGCAGCCCTGGGTTGACCAGTAGCCCAGCATGGAGCGCTCTGAGTAGTTCCAGAAGGAGCAGTTTGCATTGAAGTGGTTCTTGGCCTGTTACATGGTGTTGGACAGGTTGTCAAGACTGCAAGTCCTATTCCTGCCCTCAAACCAGCTACAGGGACAGTGACAAGTGTGAAGGAAGTGCCTGGGGCCCGAGGTGACCACGAGCTCTATGGGACATATGGTCCAGAGGAGCTGAAACTTACTCCCATGTAGGTGAACACATGGTGGGGGTATGTAGTCGGAACAAAGGATGCTGGAACCTCCAGGGAGGGAGGGAGGGGTACACCTGAGCTCACCTCCAAGTGGGCCACAGTAAAGATGACAGGGTCCATGAGGAAGACACGGCTCGATTCCTTGTTGATGGATGCTGCAATGACTTGTGAGTTCACCACCAGGGAGGCACCTCCGGGACCACCAGTCCCCGATTCACCGGCCAGCTTCACTGTAGCATTCTCCGTGGACAAGAATAGGCCCAAGTTGTTATAGAGGATGAAGACGACCTTGACCACACCTGAGGAAGACAGGCACAGGGAGATACAGTGGCCATCCTCGGGTACACTGAAACTGTGCTGTGGCCCAGATGAGACGGCAGCCCGCAAACCATTTCCACAAGGCCAATGTTTAGCAGTGGGCGTGTCGGATGACCGCACAGTGGCCAGGACTACAGGCTGGCTCTCTGATCCACTTCCTCGGCCTCAAAGGGCACAATGCCTTCTGGAACTAGGACTGAGTTGTGCAAGCCCAGGCCTTTGCAGGGCTTTGGGATATACATAGTAGCAGCAGATGAGGTGTGATTGAAACATGACTGTTGGGTTCCACAAGTGTAGATCAGAGTGCCAAGTGGGCAGTGTGCACGTGCTTTCAGATACACCCCACAGGACACTGACCGTTGCGGCTATTCTGCTTGATGGTGTTGGCAGACAGCTGGATGGAGTTCTCACTGGGGTATTCCTGGGGGAACACCAACTCCTGCACCTGACCCTCCGTGTTTAGGACAGTCACCTCCAGGACTGTAAGGGCAGGGGCAAAAAGGACATGTTATCAGGGCCTGTGCCCAGATAAGGTTCGTGCTACACCATGAGGCCTGCAGTGAAACCACTGGCCCAGGAGTTGGGGATTGGCTCTGAGGTGGCCGCAGTACTCACCCACGTTCTGCTTGGCAGCCAAGAAGCGAGCTGGTTCCCTGACATTGTCAGCCAGCAGGAAGGCCCCCTCCTCCAGGACATCTAGGAGCATGGTGGCTGTGTGCACCTGTTCTGTGGCATTCATGTCTTTCCAGGACTCAAGTGCCTCTGGCCGGAGCAGGTTGTCCACAGTCTCCACCACAGCCTGTGTATAGCAGAGTTAATACCATGAGTCTCCTACATTCTTTAGTTCCTTGAGACAGACTTAATGTCCTCTTCTCTCCCTTTCAGTCCTAAGGCCCCTCACTCCCACAAACGGTACCCAGTGGGCTCACCTTGATATAATCCTTGCAGGTTCTCTCTCGCTTGTGCATCTAGACAAAGAGACGGAGGTAGTGACAGGTGGACTCCGGGGACCACTCCCCGAGACCTCCTTCAGGAACCCCACCTCTGAGGACCACTCAGGGCAGTGCAGCCGTGGAGCCCAGCAGGCCCTGGGGTATGGCATCCCTCACTGGTCACTGTGGGGTGGCAGAGGTACAGGTACCTACCTTATTGTAGTTCTTGCCAGCTGACTCGCGCTCAATGGGCCGGAGGGCCTGGAGCTGGGCATCCAGGATGTCCAACAGCTGCTCCATCAGCTTTACCGAGGAGGACACATCCCCAGCATAGATGGAGCCCCGTGTGTGGCGGGCCAGCTCACTAGCAATGTTGGCTGCATTCTCTCCGCTCTTAATCTGAGTGAAGCAGGGAGGAGAGCCCTCAGGTCTGTTGGGCGCTGGCTTGCCCTGCTCCACACGCCCTACCCTCTTCTCCCTGTAAGTCTTTCTCACACAAGGGTTAGAGAAAAGGAGACCCCTTGCCTTGGTCACTGCCCTCTATGTCTCCCAAGTTATTTCCACTCCTGCTGACCCTGGGCTCTGGATGGCCTGCCTGCAAGGGGCAACAGTTACTGGTACCTTCTGGGCTACTTGGTTGACCCAGGGGGAGGTGCAGTTGCTGAGGTCAGGGCCTCGAGGGTTCCACAGGCCCAGAGCTGGGAGGCACTGGAATGAGGCAATTCCTGTAGAGATAGACAAGAACGCCAGAGAGGAGGAGATGACAAGGGGCCGAGCAAGGAGCAAAGAGAGAGCAGAGGGAAAGGGAGAGACAGACATTGAGAAAAGGCACAAGGCAGCCCGCCCTAGCTTCCCAGAGTCAGAACTTCCTAGGTAAGAGTCACTGTGCAAACTTTTCTCTACTAAGCCCCTCCTCACCCCCAGAGTACCTGGGCTGCTTACTTGTCCCACATCTGTCCTGAAACTGGCTCTGCTACTTTAGTCTGAGGCGGGTAGCTAGCTTGCCTGCAACTCCCCAGATGCTAGGCTGCAGATGGCACCTATACAACTACCCTGTGTGTCCAACCCTTTCTGGTCAGCTGTGGCCCCAGTACTCACCTCGAGTTCCCTTGGGGCAAGGCCTCTCCACCAGCATACCCTGTTGGGTGGCTGGCCACTGGACCCGTCGGACCTCTCGGGGTTCACAGAATAGCTCAGGGGACACGTGCAGATTGGGGGCTGGAGGCCGCCGAGTACTGGGTGCTGGGGCTGTGGCTGGAGGCAGGTCAGGTCCCAGTTGGTTAATGGCACCCACTGGGTGTGTGGTGAGGGGTGCCCGACGGAGTGGAGTGGTGGCTGCAGGTGAGGCTGTGCTGGTGAGGGGTGTGGGCCGAGCTGTGGTGGTGGTGCTGAGAGGTGGGGAAGTGGCTGGGCCTAGAAGGTAGAGGGGACAGACAGGACAGGGTTACACTCCTGCCTAAGGCCCACCAAAGTGTCCAAGCAGAGGGTTCCTTAGCACCTCGATGTCTTCTTTAACCACTGAGGTGGAGAGCTGTTCTGGGCCCCCTGCCTTCCTGTGCTCAGAGGAACCCTACATTCGTGAGATCACATATTCAGAAAAAGGTAAAAATAGACTACTGCGCATAATGTGGCGTCTCTCCCAGACCTGGGACTGGAGATGTGTATCAAAGCTGCTGGGGGTAACCACCTCTCATCTGTGACATGGCCAACTGGGGTCTGGAACCTGGCTACAGCTTCCCTTGGTGGACACACACCCACACCCACCTCCCCTTCTACAAAGGTTGCCTAAGGCTCTCTAGAGCTCTAGGGCTGCTCTGGGTTAGTGATGGGAACACCAGCTGGAGACAAAATGAGACTACAGCGAGCGAGTGGTTCTGCAATCCCTAATGTGCCTAGAGGCAGCACAGACCACTGGGTAGAGCCCAGAGTCCTAGGGTTCAATCCTCCAGAAAGATAATCCCCAGGCCACATAGTGCATGGGTTTCATCTGTAAAAACAGTGCAATCACAGTTGCTACAACAGAAGTAGCAACTGTGATTTTCTTTACCTCCTAACCCTCAAGAGCTTACAGTGGGCCCTATATTCTGGTACCAAGAAGTAATGGATGCAAAGAGGCCTAAATCCCTAAAAACCCATCCTCACCAGCACTGGGATCTGGGGGTCCAAACTCCAGGCTGTAGCGCACCACAAAATAGTTGTTCCACACGTACAGCTGGTTGTCCCGGGGATTGTAGTCGACAGAGGAAACAAACTGGTAGGGGTTTGGGAAAGCCAGACTGACTGGCTCCTCTCGGTTTGCATTGGTGTTGAAGGCATAGTCCACGCGGTTGCCGGCTGCCTCACTATCGTCATCCACATATACGGAGCGCAGCACATAGAGGACTCCGCATACCATGAAGGCGTTGGAGGCCGAGCGCTTGTCGTAGCCTGTTTCCCAAGTGCCCTCGAAGCGCAATGTGTAGGGGTTGAGCTGGCTCACCACCAGACGCCCATTGTTGCCCTCGGTGGCATAGATGACCCATAGCCCATTCTCATCCACCGCCAAGTCAATGTCGGTCTTGCCTCCCCAGCGGTAAGGTGAGGTGTCATGGTAGTTGGCTGTGTTGATGACTGTCTCGCCACTCTTGATGCGGGTCCGCAGGTCATACTTGACAATGTTGCGCGTGCGCTCCTTGTTGTAAAAGACCGCGCCATCGTACACTACGAAGCCGGTACCATCCACACGGTTGGGCAGCCGGTATGTGGTGGTGTGGCGTGCAGCCACATAGTCCTCCCATGAGGCATATTCAGTCAGTGTGTCCGTACGGTAGGGAATCCAGGGCATGACGTAGATACGGTCACCTGCCTGTAGCGGGTCCTTGCACCATGCACCAGACTGGTGCTCTGACTCATGTGTGGAGGTGGGCTCCAGAACTTTCTGCAGGGTCCCTGGGCACACGAAGACTGGGCCGGGTGGGTGGGTAAGCAGGGAGGAGGTGGGGAGGAGCAGAGGCAAGGAGAGAGGGGAGAGAGAGGCAAGTTGGTCACACGGTGGGGGGAGGAAACCATGTTGTCCCCTCCTGCTGCTGCAGTCATGGTTGCTTGGTCGGGCTGGTGATGGGAAGGGGGTTTGTGGGCGGGGAATCCCGCCCTGCCCAGCTGCCCCTCTCCCTGGTGCTGTGAACCCTGGAGACCATCAAGAGCAGGGTTAGTGTGGGGAGGTGGTACCCTCTTCCCTTCCTTGGCTGCTAGAGACCCCACAGGCTGGGGACAAAGGATCTGGCCAGTGCTCTCCCAGAGTGGGCGTGGGGGGGGGCTCTGCTGCAGTGCCACCTAGCCTCAAGGTTCAGGTGTCAGCACCCTGGCCTCCCTTCTGTCTCTGTGGAAGAACTAGGGGCTGGGATCCCGTCCTTCACCAACCATGCAGGGATGGACTTAACAAAAAAAACAAAAACAAAAACACTTCACTTTCTTCCTCCAAAAGCTGCAAGGTAGAGTGATGTTTCCACACCCACTCTGGCAGGGAGGCTTAGGGCTGTCTATTCTCTCCTCAGGTCCCTGCAGCTGTCTGAGGAAAGGATGGAGGAAGCAGCTCCCAGGTTAGGCTAGGGAGAAGTCCAATCCTGCCCCAGCCGGCAGGGCCTCTGGTGGGGTCAGGTTCAGAAGCACACTGACACTGGTGGGGTGGGGACGTTTGGGGCGAGGGAGCTGCGCAGAGGGAAGAGAGACAAGGAGGGGTGTGTGTGTCCACAAGTCCTGGCTCCAAGGGAGGCGCTCTGGAGACCACCTGGGAAGAGAAGGTTAGTGCTGGCGAGGAGAGAGGGGGGTGAGCAGAGAATTCACTCCAAGGCCCAGGCCCGACTGAGAGTCCCTTCCAGGGGCAGTCCCAGGTCCAGCTCGGAGGGGGCAAGGGAGGGAACCAGGTGCTAGGATAAAGCCCCAGCCCACCCCAGCCAACCCCCACCTCCCCTGCCCCGGACCCCGATTTACCTGTGACCATCCCGGGCTCGGGAGGAGGGACCAAGGCAGCGCTGATGTCAGAAAGGTGGGGGGCCCCGCCCCACCCCCCCATTCCCTGAAAAGAGGAAAACCTCGACTGCATCTCGTTGGCACCACTGGCCTGCCCACCCTTGCCCCTCACAGCCCAGCACCACCTGTTCCTAGCCTACCCTAGTGATTCAGGGGTCAGTGTGTCCCCCCTTGCCCAAGTGCTTCGGGACAGAGGCCCTCCCCTTCAGGAGGGCGGGCACCTCCCTCTCCTTTCTCCATGATAGAACCCACAGGCAGGCCAGTGCTGCAGGGTGGGTGTTTGTGGATCTACGGTGAATTCTCTGCTCCTGCTTGGTCCATCACCAAAGCAGCTAGCCCCAGGGACACAGGGAGGCTGGGACGACTTGCCCAGCATGGTGGACAGCTTCAGTAGTGAGGGATCCTTGGGTAGGAGCCAGGCCTAGTGTCTATTTCCAGCCTGGCTCATCAGCAGGCTAACTTGGTTGGGAGTGGGGAGCAATCTGTAGCCCCGACCCCTACCCCATCATAGTGCTAAGGGCAGCTTGGCTCTAGGCCCCTAGGCCCAAGGCAGCCAGTAGCACAGCCCCTTTAACACGAGTTAACCCTGGGCTCTAAGCCCTGGCATTCCCATCAGTTATGTCTGTACCCTCTGACCAGATGATCTGGCCCCTGCCCTTTTTTTCTGTTCCCCAGGTTCCCCCTCTACCCCATAAAAAACCCCTGCCAGGGGTGTGTGTTCATGAAGAAAGCCTGAGCTGGTCAGAGGGTACCAGGGGAGGAAAGAACACAGTTAGAGGTCATCCCAGGGAAGGGGAAGAGATGAGGAAGGGCCTGCCAGGGGCCTTGGGCAACCAGGACCCCCCTTCAGCACCCAGCTCCCAACACCTCTTCCCTTCCCCAGTCCGACCCAGAGAGTAGATCCAGTGCCGTAGTTCCAAGCCTGCAAGAAGAGTGGCTAGTGCAGGGCTGACTCAGGAGGGCAAGGGAGGATGGCGCCCGGGCCTCTGAGATGGGCAAGGCGGGAAGGAAAGGGGAGGGAGCAGCTCAGAGGAAACCCGCCCACCTCCCTGGCAGGGGACCCTCCACAGACCACCTTAATTTCAAGGCAAAAGGGACCCTGGAGGGCCATCTCACTGTCTGTCCATTGATTGCCTCCTGTCCTATTACTAGAAGGTCACCCTCCACTCCCTAGCCCATGATATAGATCGCCACACCTACTTCCATGGGGCTCCTTGCAGAAGAAATTATGGTGCCTGTGGAAGTCCCCAGAGCAAGTCTGTGACCCCCACCACCCCTCCCTCGTCCTCTCCCACATCAGCCCGGAAGAAACCCTGACTGCAGCTTTGCAAGTGTGCCAGACAGAACCCACTCCACCCTCTCCAGGAGCCCCGCCCCCACCCTGGCCCAGGGTCCCAGGGGCTTGGGATAGCTGACAACCCTCCCCAGGACTGGACCCGGCTTGTCAGAAGGGGTAGAGGGCGAGGAAACTTGTCCTCTGTGCTCCACAACAGCTCTGGGCCTTGGAAACGCCAAACCAGAAGAACTTAAGCCACCAGGAGCCAGAGAGAGAGAGATGAGAAATCTGGTCCCCCAAAGGAAAAAGTGTCCCCTCCATCCCACCACCCCTTACCAGAAACACTTTGCAAAAGGTACAGGGGGGTAGGAGAGGAGAGAGAGGAGGAGGGAGAGAAAGTAAGAGGGAAAGAGAGACAGAGAGACCGAGGAAGAGACCTCTACCGGTACCTGTGGAGACTGTGGCGTCCCTCCCCACCCCCACCCGCCTGGATGCTTACACATTTCTCCTAAGGGAGGCAAAAGAAATGAGAGATGAGGTCAGGTACCCTGCAGGGACCAGGGACCAGAAGAGGTACAGAGAGAGGAGAGGAGAAAGAAAGAAAGAGACGGGTGTAGGAGTGGGGTGAGTATCTTGCCCAGACTCAGAGAGGAGCTTCGGTGAATATCTGGAGGGTGGAGAAGCCCATGGCCGTGGCCGTGACCTTGGCCTTGGTGGTGCTGCAGCACCAGGCCCAGCCCAGCTGTGCTGGGAGGACACCCGGGGCGGGGAAATCACTGGACCAAGTGGGCGTGGGGGAGAAGAAGGGGTGGGAGGGAGGGGTGGGCCACATGAGTATGGTACAAGGTGGAACAAATTGTGAGTTAGGGGTTAGCATTGGTAACAGTGCGTTTACCTTTCTGCTCCACTTCTACTTTAAGCATCGGAAGAGAGAGAGAAAACAAATTGAAAAAAAATGTGCAAGAAAAAAAAGAGAAAAAAAAGATTAAATTGCTTTCGTTTCTTTTCTGGCCACACGCCCCCTCTTCCTGTCTTTCCTCCTGCTTTCCCAACCCCTTCCGTAGTATCATTTCAACCCCCACCCCCAAGTCCCTTTTTTGGGGTAGGATGGGGTGAGAGGGTGCCGAGGAGACAGTGAGAAGGGACTGGGAGACACACAGGAGGGAAGAGACGAAAAGACTGGGTATGGACAGACAAGGCAGGAGGGCCCCAGGTGTAGAGAGGAGCCGCACTAGGAGCTGGACTCTGGCTAGGGGGGCACCAGGCAGTGGGGAATACAGGAGCCACAGGGCTCCTCTCCACCCTGTGTACTAATCCCCCGCTAGAACCAGGAGCCAAGAGGGGTTTAGTGTCTCTGGGGTCTGGGTACCCTTCTCAGCTGAGAGCACAGGCTGAGCCCTGTCCCCTTTGAGTAGCCCCACCTGAGTCCAGTTGTGTTCCCCTAAGCTCTCCAGACCCCCGAAACGCACAGAGAGGGCAGCAGAACCAGACACGGAACAACAGAGGCAGGCAGGCAGGCAGGCGCCCCGACCTCAGACAGAGCCAGGGTAAGGGAGACAAGAGGCACAGAATTGGAGGGGACACAGACTGGGCTGGACAGCATGTTGCAGACAGGCTCCTATACTCCCGGGGAGGGGGGGGAGCTCAAGGTTCAGCTGCTCTGCCCAGTCCACCAAGGGCCCAGGAGCCCTAGCTGCACCCTGCCCTGCCCACCGCCCTTGATGACGCACGGGTGGCACCTGGGGAGGAAGGGACAGTTAGGCTGTGCTCAGCTGCAAAGCAAATCCAGTGTTAGTTCAATGTCTGGGGTTCCCATACTCCAGTGATCCCCCATCTGTGGGATCCCTGACCCCCACCCCTGCCCCACCTTCACGAGCACTGGGGTCACCTCAGCCTCTGAAGCCCAGGGCCCTGTGGGCTGACCAGACTGATCCCCTCCAGACACCCTGCTTGAGTTCAGCAGGGACCCTGTCTGGCTCCCCAGCGCCTTGCCCAGGACCCAGCACTCAGGATATGCTCAGGGAAAGTCATGAAGTGTGTGTCTGGCTTCCCTGTCTTCTTCCTAGCTTTAGTCATTCCTGAACCCCAACCCCAATTACCTGGGAGTGGGGGGAGGCAGGAGATAGTTGAACTGGGCCTACTAGCTCTGCCTGAACAAGAGCGTCCATGGCTAGCCCGACCCATGTCACCCACTCCACGTGTACAGTCTTCCAAGGCTCAGGTTGCTCTTCTCAGTCTAAAGCTGCCATCACTGTACTGTGCCACCCTAACCCCACAGCCCATCCTCCTGGGCTGTGCTCCAAGGCCACACAAGTGCTGGCTCTGGGGCTCTAAGCTGCTTCCCGGACCTGTGGCCTCTTCTCTCTCTCTCTCTCTCTCTCTCTCTCTCTCTCTCTCTCTCTCTCTCTCTCTCTCTCTCCTTTCTTTCTTTCATCTTGGTTTGATCTTTGGACCTGGACCAGGGACTTTTTCCAGTCTTGTGTCCTATCTGCTCTAAAGAGTTAGGTTTGTTTTATGTTGCTGTTCTTATTTTGATTACCATGGCAATAATAGTAACTGGTTAGAAGCGGAAATGTAGTCACAGTGACAGCAACCAGTGCTCATGAGGACAAGGGAACAGTGCAGGCCCTGGCAGCCAGGCCTTCCGGGACCCTGTCTACAGCTCGAGAAATTGAGGTTCAGAGAAGTGAAGCCACACAGGGGAGGCCATGCAGCTGCTGTTCCCTTAGAACCTGTGGCCCGGGGCACAAAGTAGCTTGGGTCCCATGCTGTCTCTATCCCTTGAAGCACTCAGGGGAGGCTTTCTGACCCCCTCCCACATCACAGAGGAGTGAAGAGGCTCAGGTGGTGGGAAAGAGCGTCCGTACCATCACTGAGCACATCTTGAATCAGGCTCGGGATGGGCGCTGGGGGGGTGAAGTCGCAGCCTCTGCCTTCGGGGCTTTGCTCCTGGGAGCAGACTCTGGCCGCAGGGCCGAGCGCTTGTCACTCCCGATCTCCAGGACTCACGCCTCCGTCTGCAGCACCCGGAGAAATTTTAAGTCATTTGCTGCAGGTTTCAGAGCCAGACAAGTCAGGAGCCATGGTTGAACCTCACACCACCTGCCCAGCCCTCTGTCCTAGACAACATGTCATTTCCCACCTCCCTCTCTGATGCCCCAACTGCGGGTGGGCAGTGTCCCCAGTGCTGTGGGGAGGCTTCGGGGAGCAGATGGGCATCCCTCTCAGGCACTGAAAGGAAAGGGCGGACACTAAAAGGAGAAAGTTACACAGCAGTGAGTGATCCTGTTCACCCATCATCCCGGCTTCACCTGCAAGGAGAAATCAAAGGTTGGAGGGGTGGTGGTGGGAAAGCTGGGTGGGAGGGGAGAGGAGGCAGAGTTATGAGGTTTTCTACTCCCCTACCCCCTCACTTGGACACCCGATGGTCCTGCCTCCTCCCCTTTTGCCTAGAGGCCTTCCCTGCTTCCAGGCTGGCTATGTGAAGCCAGGTGAGAGGACAGAGGGGGCGATGGGAGGGAGGGAGTGGACAGGAAGACTGGAGATGCTAGTGGGCAGGTGTTGAGGATGAGCAACCCTGTCTCTATCTGCTTCCCCTCAGTCAGATGTAGGATAGCCAGCTCTCGGCTCCCCAAAAGCATCTTCTTGGGGATTGTCATTCCAACATGGCAGTACTTCCTTTGCAGACTCTCAGGGTAATAGATAAACCGACTAGTAGTTAGGAACCTTGGAAGATGTCTTTGGCATTCATGATGTGGAAGGGGCAGGAGAGGGCATGTAGAAGAAAGTGAGAAAGGTCGGGTGTGTCCATGGGCAGGAGGAGAAAGGGTACAAAACAGGAGGGAGGCATAGTGGCCAGAAGGCCAGAGAGATGCCAGCATGCTGTGGGGTGTGGCTAGGAAGGGCTTTAGCAGGGAAAGGGCATGTGAGTTAGCAGGGGTGGGCAGGGGACCAGAACTGAAGACGCCCCTACAGGAGGGGACACCTGTGGGAGAGCAGCCACCAAATGTGGCCAGTGTCTGTGAAAACAACGTGTCAAAGTGTGAGCAAGCCTGCTAGCTCCTGTGCCCAGCCCCATGGAAGTGTGCACACACGTGCTGGATCAAGGTGCTTCTTCCTTGCTTTGTGGGGGAAGGGCCCAAGACAGCATGAGGAACAAGATGACTCACTGTAAGGGACACAGTCGTACTGCACCTCCAGGTACTTGTAGGTTCCAGGGCAGGGGTCAGGGAAGGCGTCGGAGCCAGCCACCACCACACACTGAGTTCGGTTATTACACCTACAGAGAGAGGAAAATGGATTCAGACCCAGAAGGCTCCAGGGTCAGGAGGCAAGCGTATAGCTCCAGCCTGGAAGGCGTGTGTGTGTGTGTGTGTGTGTGTGTGTATGGAGGGTGGGGGCTATTTTGTTTCCTGCCTGCCTTCTTTCCCACAGGCCTCTCCAGGTGCGAGCAGGTTCTCCTGGTTATATTAATACATCTTGGACATTGTTCTTTAAATTGAATTTAAAGCCCCTGTGCCATCACTGAAAGCACACAGGCCACCAGGTGTGATGGGCAGGTGTGATGGACACCTCTGCAGACACACCATCCGTCCACAGAGGACTAAGGGCCTGCTGTGCCTGCCTCGGCTCTTCCTGTGGATACTGCCATGCTCTGCGCCAGCATAGCCAAGGAGAAGTTTCGGTCTCCACCACGGGTGCCGGACCCGTATGGAAAAGGAGGCCTGGTTTACATCACAGACATTTGTCCACATTTGGTGTCTTCTCTCCTACAGGCTGTCCCCTCCTGTACAGGCACCCAGTTCTGGTCACCTGCCCACCACTTCCTGCTCCCTCACACTGCTTACTACTGTGGCATGTGCAGTCAATGTGCCTGCAATGGCTCATCCTCACTGTCAAGCTAGCTTGGGTTTAGAATGGCCTAGGAGATTGGTCAGGGAGGCTTCCAGGTATGTGTGTGAGGGTCAAGCCAGAGGAGATTATCCCAGGCAAACAGATCCACCCCAAATGTGGGAGCTCCATTCCATGGCCTAAAGGCCTCTACTAATGCAATGAAAGTAAGGGAGGGGGAAGGCAACAGAGTACCCATACATGCCTCTCTGCTTCCTGGCAGCCATAATGTGAAGGGCCCTTGCATCACACACACACACACACAAACACACAAACACACACACACACACACACACACACACACACACACACACACACACAGTGATGGACTGAACTGTAAAACCAAGAGCCAAAATGAACCCCTTTCGCCCCAAGTTGTTTCTATGAAGTGTACGGTCACTTCATAGAGAAAAGAAATGCAACCAACATTGCCCAGGTCCTTAGAGTGGGCATGCAAGGTGTGTATAAGCAATAAGTACCTTGAATCTGCCCCTAGTTCTGGGGCCACGAAGTGCAGAAAAGAAAACAGCAGGAGGCTGGGGAGTAAATAGAGAACTAGGCATGGAAGCGACTCATGTCACCCACCCACCCAAATCCTTTCTTTAAAACATAGCAGTGGCTGGGGAGTGGTGGCCCATACCTTTAAGGCAGAGGCAGGTGAATCTCTGTGAGTTCGAGGCTGTCCTGGTCTACAGACCAAGTTCCAGGACAACCAGGGCTACACAAAGAAACCCTGTCTCAAAAAAAAAAAAAATCACCACCATAACACATAAACATAGCAGTGGCTTCATACAATTTAGCAATCTGCCCTACAGAATTTACAGCAAGTGTGAACACACGTTCATGGCTGCATTGCCAACACCCACCAACAGGGGGAGATAACCCAAAAGTTGGCCCATGGAGGAATGGCTGAACAAAATGTGGCCTGTATGAGATGTTGGTAAAATGTGGCCTGCCCATATGATGGAATACTATCTGGCCAGGAAAAGGGATATGGTGCTGACTCATATGGCAACAACAATAAGTCTCAACAGCGATGCTGGGAAAGGGTGCACAGGGCGGGCTGGCAAACCTCTAGGCAGAGAACACAGCGGCGTGACAGATTGTGAAGTAACTGGTAATGGGTAAGGGGTCTCCTTTTGGAGTAGATGCTCTGCAACTAAGCTGAGGTGGTAATGCACAAGATGTCATGAATTTCAGGCACGAGTGTGGTCCAGTGGCACAGTACTCATCCAGAATGTGCAAGGCCCTGAGTGGCATCCCCCCCCCCCCACACTCTACTTTGCATCCCAGACTCCCCTGGAGAGTGGGTGTGGCATCTGTCTTTAAGGGGTGGGACTTAAAGGAGGTGGAAACACTAAGGTCCTTTGAAGGTTTGGGCCAGCTATCCTGTGGTACCCTGTCACAGAAGCTTAACTGTGACCCTGATAGACAGAGAGCTATAGTGAGTGGGAGCATTAGGAGAGGAAGCAAGGTTGAGGGCCACTAAGCCCTTCCCCATGAGGCTCCCTGACCCAGCCACCACACACTCAGCCTCCTGTGTGGAGGTGAGCAGACATGACTGTTCTAGCTGCTGGAGACTGTGGAGAGGAACCAAGCAAGGCGGTGAGGCCCAAGTCAGGGCTGGGGGGAGGCTGGACAAGATGTCAGGAGAAATGGAGCAAAGGGGCAAAGGCAGCTCTGGCCCTGTGCACACTTAGCCACCCATCTTCCCAATGCCCTAGGAAGCTCTTGGTGTCTTCCCCTCCTCTGCCCAACCTTCCTCCCCTTCCCAGGCTACAGGCCGGGGAGTGGGCCCTGAACCTCTCAGGCATCGAGCATTTAGTGAATGCTTGCTGTGGACCTGGCCATAGACATAGTGGCAAGGGACAAAGGTCTGTTGTTCCTGTAGGGCCAAATGGGTTAGGGTTAGGGAGGATAGACAATAAAATACCAAGGAAAGACAAAATATCTCATGGGAATGTGGATGGAAGGCAGAGCTCTAAAGGGGTTAGGAGTAGGGAACGGGCCTGCAGATTCAGAGTGTGTAAGTGTTCAGTTAGGTAGACAGACACAAGGAAACATAGGAACAGACACTTGGATTTCAGGGACAGCATTCTAGGCAGAAGGAATGTGGGGATATACTTATGTTTCTAGAAAAACCCAGGGTTGGCTTGCCACTTCACAGCTAACAGGGCAGGTCCCTGTGGCCCACAGACTCTATGGGGTGTGATGAACAGAAGGCTGGGAGCTGTAGACTACAGGGGTGCAGACTCTGATGCAGCCTCAAGCTTGTTGATTTTGCAGTACTAAAGACTAAACTCAGGCAGCACTCTACCAAGAGCTGCCACACATGACTGGACTGAGAATGCATAGGACAGAGTGTCAGTGGTCAGGGCAAACCACACAGCGCATGTCTAGTCTCAGGAAGGTTTTGGCTTTAGTAAAGGAAGGTGGGAACCCGAGAATGTTCTAGCAGAGGGATAGGATCTGACTCCACTGATGCCTGCCACATAGGAAGAATGGATTATAACAGATAAGAGGGAACAGGCAGAGGCCCTTGGTACACTGACTGTTCCAGTAGGTTGTACAGCTTCCTATGTGGGCTGCCCCAGCCTGGGACACCTCCTGAGTCACACAAGCATGCCGTATTCACACCCATACCTGCTCACACACACACACACACACACACACACACACACACACACACACACACTCTCTCTCTCACATGAAATTACCTTGTGTATATGCACAAGGACAATTTTGCACACAAAAGCACCCAGACTCTCTCTCTCTCTCTCTCTCTCTCTCTCTCTCTCTCTCTCTCTCTCTCTCTCTCTCTCACACACACACACACACACACACACACACACACACGTGTAAGCTACGAATAGGTGTCTTTCTTTGGGGAAGCACAGCTTTGCTCTGACACTGCAAGCTTCCACCTGCCACCAACAGGTCTTGGAACAAGTTTCTGGAGGTGGCAGAAGGGATGAGCAATCATCGGTGGCAGTGGTTCTAAACCTGTGGGTCACAACTCCAAAAGGGGCACTCATATCAGATACTTAAATTATGATTCATAACAGCAAAACTACAGTTATGAAGTAGCAACAAAATAATTTTATGATCAGGGTCACCACAACACAACTGTATTAAAGAGTTACAACATCATGATGGTTGAGAACCGCTGGTCTGTGGGGGTTAGTGAATTGGGAGGTCAGCAAGCAGGCTTACCTCTGTGACATGATTTTGAAGGCATCGGGCAGGTAGCACTGCACATTCTCCATCTGGAAAGGGTCAGCATCGCAGATCTTGTCATCTGTGCGCCCGTAGTTAGCATTCTCCACCATGATGACATCACTGCCTGGGCACCGAAGCTCGATGGGGTAGCCTTCACATGCTAACTCCCGGCGCATCAATCCAAATGGGAGCCCAGCCCGGCTCAGGCCTGCAGAACAGTTGTGGACAGGGTCACAGTCACCAGGGAAGAGAGAACCCGATGGCTTAGCCAAGTAGGGAAATTGGTGACTCTCAGGCCTATGGGGCTGTAAAGTGGCACTGAGTTTTAACCCCTGTGGAGGAAGGAATAACCTGGCCTAGACAGAGCTGACCCTTCTTCACCCTGTAATGAATGCCTTGCTTGGGAAGAGTGAACACTATTCTGGACATTGTGGGCCAGTCACAAATGTGTGACCCCAAATCCTTTCAAAACAGCTTTTTACATTTGTGTGTATTTGAGAGCGGACATGTGGAGGTCATTTGTACCTTTTACCAATGGTACTGGGGACTGAACTCAGGCCAGGCTTGGTGACAAACACCTGAGCTATCTTACTAGCCCTGTCCCCCAAAATCATATGCTGAATTGAAGAACTAACCCCAGTACTTCAGAAAGTGACTATACTTGGAGACAGGGTCTTTTGGGTTTTTTCTCTCTCAAACCCCAGCTAAGGCAGGGTCTCACATAACCTAGGCTAGCCTCAAACTTGCAACATAGCTTTGAACCAGTTTTTCTCCGCCTACCTTCCTAGGACTACAGTGTGTCACCACACCCAGCACACATTTATCCTTCTGGAAGTCTCAATGTAGCTTATGTTGACCTTGAACTCACTAGGTAGGCCAGGCTGGCCACAAGCCTACAATAACCTTCCTGCCCCAGCCTCACAAACGCTGAGATGATAGGTGTGCACCAGCACACCTGGCTTGGAGATAACATTTTTTTCCCAGTGGAGATGAATTTCAAATCAAGCTGTGAAAAGAGATCCCAGTGCAGTCTGACAGGGTCCTTACAAATAGGGAATACTTAGGGTACATTTTATTGTTATTGTTGCAATACTAGTAATAGAGCTGAGGTGTCACACACCTCAGGCAGGTGCTCTGCCATGCCTTTTATTCTGAGATGACGCCTCACTGACCTGCTTAAGATTGTCCTTGGAACTATGGTCCTCCTACTTCAGCCTCCTGAACAGCTAGGACATCATGGCTGTGCTGTCACTCTGAATTGAAAGAGGGGACCTGACACACATGTCATCCAGAGTAGACTAAGTGCAGACATGGGGGGAGGGGCACTTCAGCAAGCAGAGGAGCCCTCAGCAGGAACCAGTTGGGCTGGTGCCATGATGTTGGGCCTTTGTTCTCCAGGATGAAGGCTGTGGCAGTTTTAGCAGACAAGCCCCCTGATGACAGGACTTAGGGTGGGGCCTCTGGAGGGGCGGTGGCTGCCATGAAGGCCATCAACCGAGTCTATGATGGGACTTCTGTCGAGACCGGTGACACCAGGACATCTAGTCACTGCAGAACTGCACATATCGTTACTTTTCCATGTAAACACCTTCATCAGACTGGGTTGAATCTGTCTTCTCTTAGCAAAAAACTGTCCCTAAGCACAGGAGCTTCTGTGGATGTTGCTAATCCTTTGTTGTTGCGAATGAGAGTGGTGGTCTAGAGACCTCCTACCACCACCACACAAGGAGTGAACTGAATGAACCTAGACAACCATTCCATCACTGAGCTGTACCTGCCTGTTTGTTTATTTACTCAGAATAGGGTCTTGCTGTGTAGCCCAGCAAGGCTTGAAACTGGGGTCCTCCTGCTTAGCCTCCCCCAAATTCTGAGATTACAAGCATGTGCCACCATGTTTAACCTTTGCATGTTTAAATTCAGACAGCCACTATAGTAGCTTCCCCAAGCCTTGTTTTCCCAAGCTGTAAAATGGGCACCCATCCACAGGTCACAACCAGATATCAGGGATTCTAAACCAAAGGGATTTTTCTTTGTTTTGGTTTTTGAAACAAGCTCACACATAGCCAGGTGGCCTCAAAGTCTAAGTAGTCAAGGCTAGCCTTGAACTTCTGACCTACCTCCCCCAGGTGTGGCAGCACACTCAGCCAGGGTTTCTGAGCATGCTGCGCCACACCAGAGATCTTCACATGAGGGAACTCCCTGTGACAATCAGAGCCACACAGTACAGCTCTAAGTCTCCACTCTGCTGCTTCCTGACCTGGCTGGTGGCTCCACGGAATCTAATGGGTCCCTGGTTTCTCTGCTACCACCAGAGGTTAATCTACAGTTAATGTACTGACAAGATGTTCATTCTTTCATTATGGGTATTTCTTAGGTCCCAGGGTTGACATGTGCAACCACCCTGGGACACTGGTTGCAGCCCAGACACACTGAATGCAAGGTGGGAGCTGCAGGTGTATGGGGCAGGACCCCCACTTGGAGTGAGCTAAGCACTATAAAAGATGCTTGCACTATGGGCAGAGCCCAGCCAGCCCCTCTTCTGAGACAGGGTCCATCTAACACTGACAAGTATCCCCAGGGTTATAGCAGCCAGGCCCTTGGGTTTCTGGGGGTGAGCAGAGCCCCAGTTGAGAGAAAGTTTCCCATGTGCTCCTGTCATGCCATCTGCTTCCTCCTCTAATTTTAGCTTCCCTAGTCAGGGAGGGAGGCTGGGGGTGGAAGGCTGGCTCACATGGGGCTGGGGGTGGAGGCAGCCCCTCCTGGCCTAGCAGGGCCCAGGCCCGGAACTGGGGCACTAGGGAGATTGGGTCACTGGCCACCAAGACCCTGCCGAGGCTTCAGAATAAGGCTGACTTTACAGAGGACGGGACTGGCAAGGTGGGGAGGGGGACCCTCTAGGAAGCAGTCAGGCCAACAGACCCCTTCTTTGCTTCTATTGCCCTGAACACAGCTGGTACCCAACCTGGGGATGGTAACTAAGTAATGTCAACAGAGGGTAGCAGGCTTGGGGCACTAATTGTGGCATGTGCAGGATCCCAGGCCGGAGCTGGGTAATTAGTTGTTTTTAAATAAACGTCAGCAGTCATGCTTTAATTAAGCTCTGGTCCCAGTGAGTCCCAGAGATGTGATGAGTGACAAGAAGGGGGGACGAGAGAAATAGCTGGCCCCCTGAAGGCTTGTCTTAGTCCTAGGTGTCCCAAAGCAAGACAGCACCTAGCACACCGGCCTGCTGGGAGTTTAACACCCCTCAGTGGTGCCTGCCAAGGGTGGCATCACCAGGCTCCCTCTGGCCTGGTCCAACTTCATCTGGGGTGGAGGCTATGGTAGACAGAAAATTCACATTTCTTGCCCTCCTTTCTGGGTGGGAGACCCAGCCTTTCCCTAGCCCAGATAGCACCTACCTTGAGTAGCAGAGGTGACAAGGACAGTGGTGACACAGAGACTCCAGAGTGCGGCAGCCAAGCGGGCCATGGCGAAGGCCAGGGGCGGGTGCAGGATTCTCAGCGGACTGTGTGTGGGGCCTCGCCCCGCATTACCAGGGTACCACGGCCTGGCCCACCAGCCTGAAGGAGGACAGCAGAATGATCATGGGCAGGGGCTGAGCTTGGCAAGCCCAGAGGGAGTCTGCTGGCTAATGGACCCTTCCTGGACTGGGGTGACACTGCCCTGTTCCAGGGCCACTCTCCCCAGCTCTGGTCCCTCTTCTCCAATGGAATCTCCCTGGGGGAGGCTTCATGGGTCAGCATGGCTGCTGAGCATGCACCCACACCAAAGCAGCTTCAGACTCATCCCTAAACCCTGCCCCTGCCCCCTCCCCTCCACCACCAAGCATCCTCATCCCTCCAGAAGGGCAAGGGGTTCCAACCTGATTCCAGCCTCGGCTTTGGGCAGGAATCCAGCCCCGCCCCTACCCTCTGCTTCCTGTCTCTCTGCTCTGGCAGCTAATTAGAATCCAGCTGGCTGGCGCCACAGATAGGGGACCAGGGACACCCAAGTCCCCTCTTTCCTTTCTAGGGGACTCTGGGGTGAGTTGGAGACAGGCAGGCGGAGTGGGAGGAGAGGAATTGGAGATCAGGGTGTCGCGAGCTCCTCCTAGGACCTCAGTTCTGACTTGCTGTTCCTTCCCTACCCTCTGCTCTTGTGTCGTGCACCTCAGTTCTCAGGGCCACTGCAGCCTAGAGACATCAACCTCGCCCGACAGCAGAGGAAGCGTGTGCGTGTGCGTGCGTGTCCGTGCGTGTGTGTTCCAAATCTCTTCTTTCCCATCTAGGATCCCTCAACAGTCGCACCATTCCTCCTACCTACCAATGACCCAGGCTCTGCCTCGGCCTTTCATGAGTCTTTTTCTCTGCATGCAGCTCCAGTTCCCGGGGCTGGCTGTCACTCTGCTCATATGTAACTGTTGATCTGGTTAGGAAACTGCCCATCTGGGGACCTAGATTGCTTTGTTCATGACCACCACACCCACCTTTTAGAGCAGGCCCTACATACTGAGGAATCTATTTGTTGACTGAATCTCAGACCTACCGCTGCCCTTCCTGCCATCTCCCTCCTACGCTCCATGGCAGGTCTACCTCTGGGCAGACTCTACTCTGCCCCTCACCTGCCAGAGCTAAGGGACTTGAGATGACGTCTACTCCTCAGGTGCCACCCTGCCGGCCTGTCAACCCCACCTCTCCTTCTCCAGTCCCCAAGCACAGTCCGGGACAGTCTCCTATGAGTCCCAGGTGCAGACGTCTTATTTGGGGTTCAAGCTGAGGACAACTCTTCCTGCTCCTGTGCCATAAAGCCACCTAACTCCTGCTTCTAGGCACCCCTAATGTGACGTTCCCATGGTGGTGGCCAGTCTGTCGGTAACCCCCTCGAGGTCTTCCCTGTCCCTTCTGTGCCCACCATGGCCATCTCTCTTCTTACCACCAGGCCACTGACCATCTAGCCACCTTCTTCCCTCATCCTGTGGAGACATAGGTGGCCTGGGACACGAGTGGGCCATTTCTATACTGGAGATGGAACCCTCCTTGGCACTCACCCACCTCTACTTCCAAGGCAGTCATGGCTTCACTCACCTCTTCTAGAGCTTTCTTAACAGCCCTGCTAACCTCGGAGGCAGGAGAGAATGCAGCTGCAAAGGGCTGCTTCACTACACGCACAGAAGCCTCCAGAAGTCCCTGCCCATGTGGGCTGAGGTCCCCAAAGTTGAGTGACCTTGATAGACTCTATGGCCAGGCACATGGTCCACCCCCTCCCCAGTCCAGTAAGAGCGACAATCTCCACATGCACCCAGTGGGCTTAGACCCTTATCTGGTGGGAAGTAATTATGGGGTTTCTCCTCCCCCAAGGCTGCATCCTTGATGCAGGGACCCCAGAGGGAACCCCATACAGCTCCTGACCTAAGGAGGCTGCAGGTATACTCTCTAGCAGGGCCAGATCACAAGAAAGCCTCCTGTCCACCAATGGCAGCCACCTTCCAGGTGCAGATCTCAGAAGTCCAGACCCCAGCCTGCTCTTCCTCAGCCTGTCCCAGCTCAGGAGTGAGTCAAGGGTCTGTCCCCACTGTGCCCTTCTGTTTAAACACTCTAGGGTTCCTGCAGGCAGAGGGATTATTGTGTTTTCAAAAGCTGCAACACAGGCTGGAGAGGTGGCTCAGAGGTCAAGAGCGCCTGCTCTTGCACAGGACTGTTCAGCTCCCAGTACCCCTTTGGGAAGTCACAATCACCTGTAACTCCAATCCAGGGGATTCAATGACCTCTTCTGACCCCTAGGATACCAGACACTGAGAGGATGCATAGATATGAGTAAAACACCCATACATACATTACATATAAAATATGACATAATTTGAAGTATGTGTTTTCTTCTGATGTGCAGATGGAACCTAGGGCCTCCTGAATGTTAAGCATTCATTCTACCTGTGACCTGTATCCCCAGCCCCCAAACCACCCAGATGTACAAAAAAGTGCCATCTTACAGTCATTTTGAGTGTTTGGCTTGGCCTTACATTCACAGCTGTCCTCTTGTCTCACTGATTTCTATTACCTTGTAACAGGGCTCTATTCTGATGCCCAAGCTTTTGTGAACTCCTGCTCAGCCTCCCTCTAGCTGGGACTCCAGTGTGTCAAGCCTCCCTTAGCAGCTGTTGGTTCTGCAGTCCAGCCTGCCCTCCTTCCTTCTTTTCAAGGCAGGGTTTCCCTGTGCAGCCCTGGCTGTTCTGGAACCCACTCTGTAGACCAGGCTGGCCTCTAACCCAGAGATCCACCTCCCTCTGCTCCCACCCCCACCCCGGGTGCTGAGATTAAAGGCGTGTGTCACCACAACTGGCTATTCTAGTTTTCTTAAGATCGGAATTGTGTGTGTGTTCTTTTTTCCCTTGAGTGCTAAGGATGGACCAACGCTCTGTGAGCTGGAAGCCATGGGTTGTAGCCTCACGAACTGAATGTGGGATATGAAAAAGTGCCAACTTTTTATCACCTGTCTGAATAGGCAAAGACCAAAAACTAATTCAAATCAAAGCCACCACGAACCCCAGGCATTTCTGTGCTATTCTGACATCAGTTGAGCCTCGGTTCCAAAGTGCACAGCATTCACAGCGTGCCCACCCCAGAACCTATGACCTGTATCTCAGATTAGACTGGCACAGGTGTGTGCTCTGAAGTATTGACTGTTTGTACAACGTGGGTTTTTTTTTTTTTTTTTTTTTTTTTGCATTTATGAAAACATAGTGGTTTAATTATGGGAAAACAAGAACTTTTATTATTTTCCTACTATCATTCCTAAGTATGTCTTTGGACTGTATCATGTTTTATTTTTAAACTTGTTTGAGGGGGAGCTTGGAAGATGGTAACTTAGTGGTTAAAAGGGTGTACGTACTGCTGCTGGGTACGGTGGCACATGCTTTTGACCCAGAACGCTGGAGGCAAAGGCAAGATCTCTGAGTTTGAAGCCAGCCTGGTCTACAATTTGAGTTCCAGGATAGCCAAGGATACACAGAGAAACTTTGTCTCCCCATACCCACACACACAAAAAAGAGTGTGTACTACTGTTGCAGAGGACCTGAGTTGGGTTCCCAGCTCGCACATTAGGCCCCTCAAGATCTGATGTCTCTTGGACTCCATGGGTACCTGCACGGACATGCACATACCCACACACATACACATAATTTTAAAGTAGTAAAAGCAAACCTGAGTTTCACGCAACAAAAATTATTGAATGAACACTGGCTTGGGATTAGGACAGAATTTCCATCAAATTCTGAACACTCCCAAACATGCTCCTGCCATTTTGAGCTGTGTATTCAGGTGAGACTGGTTCTTTGCATGGTGGGTCTATTCTAATGTAACCCTGAACAACACAGACGATACTTTGTATCCTGCAGTAGCAACAACCCAGCCAGGATTTCATTCTGTCTTTAAAACTATCAAGGACACCCTCCTCCTTAGCATGCACACTTGATTTCATCTTTAAAAAAAGTGGTGAAATTATATATCAAAGAATTGTTTTGAAATTCCCTTATGGTTTATGGTCAAGCAGTACTTGATTTATGTATCTATATACTGGATTTGTGTGTCAATTTTCTCAGGTAAAAGGGGATTGTGAGTAGAAAAGTTTAGAAAGCCTTATGCTAGGCAAACACTGAGCCACACAGGAGACTTTTCCAGGTATGCTGGCACATACCTTTAACCCTAGCACTCCCGAGGCAGAGGCATGAAGATCTCTCCATGATTTCAAGGTCAGCCTGGTCTACATAGTAAATTCCAGGACAGAGCAGCATCATGACACCTTGCTCTCTAGTAAACAAACAAAAGGAAATAAAAGAACAAAGTGTGTGCATGTATGCCCACAGAGGGTGTTGAATCTCTTAACAAACAATTAGTTTGAATCTTCTCTGGCACTGATGCTGGGTCAGCCATCCAGAAGGGGCTGTGCAGGGTCTTCTTGTAAATGCTATACTCCTTCACACACAGCCTCAAGCACCTGAATGTTACCAGTATCTGGGATCCTGGGCAGCACAAACTTACTTTCTCATTGCTTTGAGAGCTAGGCATGAGCTGAAGAGGCCTGGGAGCCAGGGCTTCTGGCCCAGCATGCCGACCACCTTCTCCCTGTCCTTGATCAGCCTTCTTGGGTGTACAGTAGAGAGGTCCGTGTGTTTTGTGTTCTGATAAGGATATCATTAGTGGTGTCTCCAATCTCCCACCCCACATCCCCGTGAGGCCCATGACAGGATCTCACTTAACCTTAACTGTCCCACTAAAAGCTCCCCAAACTTTCTCTCCAGTGAGTGGTTGGCACAGGAGGAGACGACAAGGGGATCTTGAACTGAAGGCCAGTCTGAGCTTCAGACTAAGTTCAAGGCCAGCCTGGATAACTTAAATACATTATTTCAAAATAACATTTACGCTGGGCACAGTGGCATACACCTTTAATCTCAGCACCTTGGAGGCAGAGACAGGCATGTACAGCCCTGAGTCAGGTCTATACAGTTAGTCCCAGGACAGCCAGGACACTGTTAACAGAGAAATTCTGTCTCAAAAAAAAAAAAAAAAAAAAAAAAAAAAAAAAAAAC